AACGGAAATACATCATCTTCTCGAAATCTGGAATTTTTCTTTTGATATTACAAAAGATACACTCTAGTTAGATTACATGTAAATAGATATAAAGATAATTCATGATGTTAAGGTAGGTTTCTATTGCTAAACATTTGTACAATAACCTTGAATAGTCAAACACTAGCTTATCTATACTATTCTTACACTATCGGACTTTCTTAGCGACCATTTAACTCGGAGTGCGGCAATAAAGGTTGATCCCATCGGACCGATTAATCCAATGAGTGGACATTTTCGGTTTTAATATTTTTTCTAAAACTGGGAAAAGGAAGTTAATGTCTTAATCAGCGGGATGTTTTAGACGGAAAAAAATGTTTGAACCCGATCTACGCTTTGATGTAGAAAAAAGGATAGGGATAATTCAAAAATGCCAACACAAAAGGAACGACTACTTCGTTGACTGTCCGTTTTATATGCTAAAGGGGTATAATATTGTCGACACAGGTTGCTACAATACGTTGTGGGAACTTTTAACATTTCAACAAACGTTCAAAGTACACGGTAACAAGTTGTTCTTCTAAAAATACACGGTACGAGGCGAGAGTACACTGTTCCGTTTTATTGTAACATAAATAACGGTAGCAAATCTCGCGGACAGTTGTCTTAAGTTACGCATAAAGATTGGTTTACACTGACAAACATTATCAAGAACAGATGCAATTATCATCAATTGACAGAAAAAAAGTGTAGGGAAATGTTTCTATCTTGTACTTTTTACGAATTTAATGACCTTCTTAATTGGTAGTTGTAATTGCATTTTAATATTTCGATATAACCAATAGATGAACGAATTAAAAAACATGAGTTTGTAGTTCGTGTGTACACGCCTTTATCATTATTTCAGTCGCAAACCGGCAAGGCGTCGGACGATGAAATTTACTTATTAGCTTAACGCATCCTCCGCACTTAAGCATCCGCTTCATAAGTATACATTAGTATGCAGGACTTTATACGCATGCTGTTTTGACGCTACAGTTTACTTCGCAAAAGATAGCCGCAATAAAAAATCTATTATTCTTTACAATGCAATTCATGCGACTTCACCTGCGGGGAATTAAAAAAGCCTATGTTACTGATAACGTAGCGTTATAATGGTGAAGATTTTAAATCGGTCCAGTAGATTTTGAGTTATTTCAATACATACAAAAATACAAATTATTCCTTTTTATAATATTAGTATAGATTAGAGGAGATAAATAAAAGTCGCTAAACCATTAATTCAAGTTAGATGTATAAGTATAAATGCACTATTTTGTGAATTGCGAAAAAAAATCTGCAAAAGGACAAATTGTTCGTAATAAAAATATGGAATGAATTATTATTTATATTAACAAAAATTAGTTGTTAATAATTAACTATCACACACTAGCATTTTTATGATACTTCTAAAATCAACATCATTTAAGGGTGATTCGCTGAAAGCAACATTTTGGATTGCAGCCAAAATCAAAGGATCGACGACCGATGCCTTTTTGTCCTTTTAGTGATCAAAACGACTGGGATAGAAATGCAATTCCAGCAATAGACAGGACTGTCTACAAAAAGGGAACAAGTCGGGGACATAGAACGCTATTAATGTCTCCATTTATCCACATTCCTTAACGTCGGGGTTTAATGTTTATATCGCAGATACCTTTGCGGTTATTCAATAATAACTGAAATACCAATGACCGCGTGTAAGTAGAGAATCCTATGTGACCACAGATTATGATACTATAAAGACTAGTTTGTACATAAAATAACCGACACCCGCGGTTCGAGAACTTTATATAAACTGTAGGCGCAGTAAGAAAAAGTAACAATAGATTGATCTCAAAGCGCTAGAAAAATTCTTGTCCTTAAATGATGTTAACGTAATAATTATTACATACGAATGGAAGAGAAATAGTTACCCAATACGCAAAAGTAAACAGTCAAGAAGTCAAATAGCATAAAACTTTCTTTAACAAAACAATAACATAATAAAGACATTTAAATTAAGAACAATAAACCACACATCACTTTTCCCGCCACATAAAATTATTCCTTTTTCAAAATCATTACGAACAAAGAACACAAATTTTTACAAACGGCCAGAAACATAACGTTTTTTTGAAAAACAAATAGACATAGGCGCGCGAGTCATACGTCCAGTCGTCACTTACTGTACTCGTGAAAACTTTGTCGGTAAATGTCGACCAAATATTAATGCAAATTCTATAAATATAGAAACATTTAATTTAGATTCAAAGCGTGTTCATCTCCAAATATGATTGACTAATGCTGTTAGAATTTATGAAGTGACAACGAAAACGGCGCGATGGATAAATGATCGCTGTTTGACACATTTTCTATAAAAGCATTCGAAGCACGGATGTTTATACTAAATGAAATGTATAAATTAGTGTATCTCATCGATAAAACCGTGGGTTTCCACTACCGGAATACTTGGGAAAGACAAACTGTAGACTACAAACACGTCAAACTGCGTATTACGTGTGGCCTTCATAAAGCACAAAGAAACATGTCTTTATGCGTGCATTTAATGCTAGGTTGATTTTACAAACGCATAAGAAGTATAATAAAATTTATTAAAACACAAAAGGTAGCAGTAGCTTTAAAAAAGGGAAAATAAAGTTATCTATATCTATACTAATATTATGAAAAGGAAAGATTTGTATTTTTGGATTTTTATATGTATTCAATACACGTAAAAACTACTGGGCCGATTTTAAAAATTCTTTCACTATTAGAAGGTAATTTATATATAATATTAATTTTATATTTTTATTATTATATATAAATACATTATTGAGAATAAACATAACTTAATAACTCGAAAGTATCAAGATTAACAAATCGCTGTATAATTCCGCAAAGCGTGTCTCAGGAAATTGTTAATCCTGTCCCCAATTGTTCTTAATGATAATCAAGTCACTGGCAACTTGTCACATTTTTCTACCAACTGGCAGCCTTTACTGGACCATTTAAAGTATGTATAACATATAAAGCATTTACATAAAAAAGATGTCTTTTTTCTTCAAGTAAGTCATAAAACTTTTGCGCTGACCCTACAGGAATAGGATAAGGAGGAAGATGATGTTATTTCTGCATTAGATAAGACGTAAGATGCTATAGAAAATTTATACAATGGCATTATCCTAGCTTAAACCAAATATCTTAGTGCAGTTGCCAATCTGCTTGCCAAGTGGGTCACCTATAAAGTTTATTTGTATTAGTTCAATTCAAAAGTTTCCTGGTAAGCTTTGGCAATACAACACTGGCATACCAACACAGTGTTAAAGACCTCTGACTATTGAATTTAGACCGAGACAGTGTGAAAGACTATATACCATTTTTTTAAAGACTACTAATAGACTAGTCATAGACTATTTTATTATTATTTACAAAGTTACCAGTAACAGAAAAACATCTATCCATCTAAATTTTTAAGCTTCAATAAATTGTTAGAACATGAAGAAGTTTTTAATTAATCTAGACAACTAAGGATTGTTTGTTACTCAGTCTGTACAAAATTAAAAAAAAAGTTGCCTATGTTATCCTTCAGACTGTTTCACATCTGTGCCAAATTCGATTACAATCTCTTACACCATTCTGGAGATGTCATCTAAAAACATCCATTATCTACTTTTGCATTTGTAATTGGGTGCCAGTGGCTTAAGTTTAGTCCTTTTCCCTTTCTACCCTTTTCTTAGGAGGAAAGGATAGGAAGGAAAAGTGAATTTGATGGTGGAGGAGATGCATAGGGGAAATAATCTATTTATGTGCGTCTCCTCTTCTGTTGACTAAGGGTAAACAACGTATCTGCAATTGTGGATGGGCAGCAGTCACTTCACCATTTCGGCGTATTCATTTGGCCACTTGTTCATAAAAAAAAATTCTGTAAGATTTATAACAGTAACTACTGTTAACATCTATGCTAATACAGTAAATAAATACTTGTTTTACATTAAACATTCCTTGCAACATAATGATCAATTGATTACTCACTATGTTACCATTTTAATGATTCACATAAAATAGATTGTCTATATCTTGTGTGAGTTAACAGATTATCCTAAATAGAACATATCTTGTAAGGAAATCAATGACAATATATCTTTGTTATGCCAAGCACATATAGAGTACCATATGTTCTTTGCATGGAATGTTTATGGTTACTATGAGTTTATTGGGAGCATATCAGTTTGTCAGGGGTTTGAACACTTGAATCCCGTCATGTACCAATATGTAATTCGATTTTTCGAATTTCATATATACACAATTTACCCGACTCTCTTGCTGTGAAGGACAACATTGTGATGCAACCTGCATATATTAGAGAAGAAATTCAAAGATATGTATGAAGTTAACCAACCAGCAGTATAGTATAGTTGGCTATCGCCAAGTTGACCCTAACTTAGGGTAGGCTCCGAGCCCCTTGGTGGGGACGCAGTGAGTTGGTGATGATATCGGTTTCAGCATGTTTTGATTGATTTATGTTATGAAACAGTATTAGTTATATCAAATTATAGCAGTTATGCTTTGATGGGGAAATAGATAAACAAAGAGATGTTTGTAGGTGCAAATGCTATTACTAATAGAATTTTTTCTAAAGCGATATTAATATGTTATTTACAGGTAATGATGAATAGGCGTTTTAATTCTGTGCAATGTGTATTACATATGTAATTTAATTTAAAACAGTATGCAAATTTTATTTTTTCTTTGAAATCTCCACGTCTATATAATTAAAATCCAACTAATTCGCGCTGATAATAACGTTTATTATAAATTATTTTTAAATATGAGTACACAAATAAATAACAAGAAGTATAGCGATATTAACTTATTGAAAAGTTTTTTTTTAAATAATGTAGCTAATAAAAATATAAACAATTTTTCCTGTTATATTTCTAAACAACAAATACAAAATCTGAAGTACACAGAAATTTAAATAAAAATAGAAAACAACTCACCTGTAGCACGCCGCAATATATTTATTTCTTTTTCTTTGAAACCTGGCATACACTTGTATTTTAAGTTTTAAATAAAAGCGAAAATATCTATTTTTATCACAATCGTTCAAATTTTGTGTCACA